TGTTCTTGGGTCTTGGAGTCAAAAAATTCTGTGTTACTTGTCACTAGTTTTATGCTTTGCACTTATTGGTCAAGATTTTATCTTTCTTCTTCAGAGTTTCTAGGAGGCCGAGGACAGTTACTGAGACAAATTTATAGGGTGTACACACATTTTGTTCATATCTAAATGTACCAATAACACACTAACTACATCAAGAAAGAATAGAAAGTACTTATTTTAAAAAACTTTCTGAATTTGGTTCTGAAACAAGTTAATAGATTTACCTGTTGGAAGAACAGAAAGTGAAGAGAAGGAATTTAAAAATATGAACAAGACAGCTGCATTCCCAATAAAGAGGAAAGTGGGAGAGGGTCAGAGTCTCCTAAGAATGTGCTCTTGTGCATGCTGGGCTTCATCACTGCCAGGCTGAGATGACTATAAAAGGGAAAAGAAACCTATTTGCTCTAAACCTCAATATACCTTTTTCAGATAAACCTTTCCATTCTTATACCTTTTGAAATACCTATATGTATACTCAGCCAGAGTGACTCAGGCTGGAGCTTAGTGATCTGCAGTGCTGGGAATCATATGGGCGACCACGGGTTTGTATCCTCAGCACACCGGAAATGCTCACACCCAGGGTTCTGATTAGCTGGAGGGCTGGGGGCAGGAATAGCAGCATGACAACACCCTGTCAAGGGTGCCTCTTTTTTCCTATGAATAGAGTAAATAATCTTTTTACAAATAAAAATAAAGTACCTCGCAGTTCTGTGCATATGACATCTTATTCTTTTCTTTCCTAACATTCATCATGGTTTGTATAGCCATACTTTTATGTATTTGCTGTTGGTCTCCCCTGCCAGACTGTAAGTTCCATCCCAGCTGGTTACACCCGCTTCGTTCACTACTCTAGTCCCAGTGCTTAGCTATGTTTAGCAAGTAGTTTCCCGTGAAATGTGAGCTAAACACACGAATAATGTGGCTTCGGTGTTCTGATGAACCTATTACAAGAGTGTAATGCCAGAACATGAAGTAATCATATCCTTAGTACCGTTGTGCACGAGTGTTTAAAGAATAAAAAAAAACGGACTTTAGTAAAGAGTTACAACGACTTTCACATCTTTTCCTCCTTATAGCAAGAGTACTATATAAGTCAGTCTGGGCTTCTATAACAAAAATACTCTGAATTTGATGGGTGAAACAGCAAACCTTCATTTCTCACAGACCTGGAGGCTGGAAAGCCCAAGATGAAGGAGCTCACATATCCGATGTCTCATGAGCGCGCACTTGCTGGTTTCCAGAGAGTCCTCTTCCACTTGTATCCTCAGATAGTGAGGATCAGAGGGAGGGAGTAAGCTCCCTTCTCTTTTTATAAGGGCACTAATCTCATTTATGAGGACCCACCCTCATTAAATAATCACCACCTATAGCCCCACCTCCTAATGATTGAGTATGTATACTACAGCAAACACTCATCTGTCTGAGGAACAATAGAGAGGTTTCTAGCTTACGTTTCTAGTGAATCATTAGACTACCTTCTCCCCAAAACAGCACATTGACAAAAATAACAGACAGGCTTAGCTTGAAAAGGGGCCTTTAAATTTTAGTGGCTCTTAGAGGCAGGCATTGATAATGACAACTGACAAGCCAAGGCTGGGCTCATGGACAGGGTGGTTCCATACCCAGAGGGAAGAAGACTGCAGCTTGGCACCAGCCCGGTAATGTTTCTGCTTCATTTTTATGTTCTACGTATGGTAATCAAGAGTCCCATTAAAGGAAAGAATGAAGTCTGGTAGTCTGTTGCTTATTATGCACTGGGATCACTGCTATTTTCTTTTTCAGTAAGAGTGATTTCTTTCTACCGAGAATTATAGACTTTTCCAAGGAAACTCTTACCTTGAGAGGATTCAGAAATTGCAGTACCTGCAGGCAACACTTAACATGGACACACAAATAAATGAAATCCTTACTGACAAGAAAAATGATTGATAAGTGTATGCTGAGAAAATCGTGAGAACATTAGGCAACCAAGAAACTATTCAGTGGAATCAGCTCTATGCAAATAGTATCAACATTTGCATATTGCCTTCTCCTGCTTCATACATTATGAGGCCCCAGGTGGTGCTGAAAGAAGATCACAGTGTGTTCAGATTCTGTAACAATTTGTATCTTTTGCTCATTCACCAACTGTGTCAAATACAGTGAAAGTAGCTGGTAGAAACTTCTCATTGAAGAAAAGAAAGTTCTTTTTAAAATCTGGCTTCTGACAATCATACATAACTGCATGATATCACATCTAGTGAGCCAGAAAACCATGGCTAAAACAAAAGACTGGGGATTTATTCTAAGAACTATTTGGTTTCTTATCTTTCTGGAAAATTTGAGCAGATGAAATCATTATATAGCCAAGGCGAACCAGAGTATTAGAAAAGGCAAGAGAAGAATCAATGAAGAAAACACAACTGTTTGATTTTCTATATAGAAAGACGAACAGAAATAATCATTTCTTAAAACTCTCCCCTCTTAATTGTTCATCGTAGATAAGAACATCAGGCATACACTGTCTAACGGGCGTCAGAGATGGGTACACAATATTAGAGCCCAGTATAAAATGAAAGCATGGATCCCTTTACTTAAAAAGCCAATGGGAAAAAGGGCAAATGGTTCAGGGTTAGACAGTGATGCAGTGATAAATGCAGCTCTCTGAGATGCTGACCCACGTGGGGTGGTTCCACGTCGGTGTTCTGAGACCTCCTAGATTATGTCCGACACACTAGCCCACGGTCCAGCGCTGCTGAGGCTAGACAATGGGGATCAGTGTCAAGACCCTGTCGGTAGTGCTGTGTTTTTGCATCTCTGTTTTTCTCATAAAATAAATAAATAAATAAATACACTTATGAAAAGGAACAATAGTTAAAGGTATAGAAATAACCATCTTCTTAAAAAGTATTTTGTTATTTAAGCAAGATAATAGAGCTTAACCTGAGAACAAGCACTCTTCACTTAATGAGTTCCATTGCTATGACCAGGTTATGAAGTCAATTGGTTGATAAGCAAGACACTTTCAATCTGCCAGGTCTGAGATTTGATTTTTCAGATTTTCTTGTGACATGTCATGATGCCATAAATAACCATCTTCTTAAAAAGTATTTTGTTATTTAAGCAAGATAATAGAGCTTAACCTGAGAACAAGCACTCTTCACTTAATGAGTTCCATTGCTATGACCAGGTTATGAAGTCAATTGGTTGATAAGCAAGACACTTTCAATCTGCCAGGTCTGAGATTTGATTTTTCAGATTTTCTTGTGACATGTCATGATGCCATTATATATATATATATATATATTTGCAGTTTTTCAAATAGAATATTGCACAGCACTAAAGTGATGTAAACCTGTCCATACCGAGAGCATACATTTGGTAAGTGCCAGAACATGATAAGACATACAACACCATAATGCGGAGTGTCATTGCTATGATTTATTCTGAATACTACTATGATGCACAATAAAGTAAAAATTCATAGATGAAATATCTAGTCTTCTGTGATTGCAAACACTTTGTGTAGCAAATACTGATGGCAAAAAGAGACAAAGACTAATAAGGGAGATTCCTGAGTCTCACAGCAATTGAGAAAGGGTGTTCTCCAAACTGAAAAACTGGTCTTAAATCCAAGGGGTCATTGAAAAGATAGGCTCTTAAATGAGGAGTGGCTGTGTTAAACTTACCAATTATAAAATATAATATTTTGGTGTCTTTTTTTGTGATACAGTGGTACTATCTTGATAAATCATGAGATTTGATTTTATTATGCTGTCTTTTTTTTTTTTTTTTGAGAGGTTTTTTTTGCTTTGT